TATTTCAAAAAGTAAAAACCAGGACAACCCAATAGTTGCTGAGCTTTTTAAAAGTAGAACAGACATAAAGACCAGCTATCAGTGCAGAAGCAAAGAAACAGGATACGGCTTGTAGGAACTGAGGTCCAGTGCCGAGGGCCTTCTGGCGGTTCCCTTGCTGCAAGAAGCCAAGTTACAGGGAACCAGGCAGAGGGCCTTCTCGGTAGTGGTGCCCTCCCTGTGGAATGCCCTCCTACCAGATGTCAAAGAGAACAACAACTACCAGACTTTTAGAAGACATCTGACGGCAGCCCTGTTTAGGGAAGCTTTCAGTGTTTAACATATTATTGTATTTTAATGTTGGAAGCCACCCAGAGTGGCTGGGGATACCCAGGCAAATGGACGGGGTATTATTATTATTATTATTATTATTATTAATCAGGGGAGCTGTAACTGCTATCCTATGCAGCAATGCAGAGCACTGGCTCCTTAGTGAGCAAACTGTTTTAGGATGTGAACTCAAAATCTCATACTGGCATGTAGAGATGGGGAAGAAATTTGATTCACTTTGCATTTAACAGCTAACATACCCAATTCTCAGTTTCTGAAACAATACCGAAACACAGGCACACTCTGAGATTCACACTTTTCTGAATTCTTGCAGTGCAATTCCCCAGCCAAGTAATGTGTACAAAAATGCATATGCTGAGGTAAAGTCACCATAACAGTGCATATATTAGTTAAAGCAATATACAGAAATGCATTCTATTGGGGGAAACATCTCTGCAAAAGTGTGTGTATTTGGCAACCCCTTCCGTTTAAGGTGTATCTCTTTTAGACAACAGTCCGCCAAAAGAAGCATGTGTAAATCAAATACCCGTTTGCAGAACTGTGTGCTTTGGCAACAGGACTGGGTAGCCCCAGATCTTTGATGACTAGGAACCAAATCCCAAGGCAAAAATCAGAAGTTCAACTTTTGACGTGTGTTTAGGCTGCAATCTTATGGACACCTGCCCAAGAGTCAGCCCCACTGAATCATTGGGGTTTACTTCTAAACAAGCAAACATAGGATCATGCTGTATGTCATGAGCACATGATTTGTTTCATTACAAAAATGATAGAGTGTAGAAGAGGGGATTTTTAATTGATTGGCGTTTCTTTAAAAAAAATCCTTGACTATATTGATTTGAACTATAGCTGGTGAAGAACAAAATTCTTCTCATGTGTATCAAGGAAATAAATGTTAAGGTTGTTTCTCAAGTGATATTTAATAGATGAGTCTGGAGAGATAAGTCTCCTCACGTAATAATGATGTTGTACATGACGATCTGAGACATTAATCCATTACCAATCTAATGTTTGTGTGATTTTCTGTAAGTCTTTTATTCAGCTAATCCTGTGTATGGTTCCTTATTTTCTTCCCACATCAAAACAGAAAAAGGGGAACCAAAACATTTTTTAAAAATCTCTTGGAATTTGTCCACCACATCTCATGTTGTTTGTGATTTAAGGCACATGCTTTTCTAGGACAACTGCAAGATAACAGCATGATACTGAGAAAGCTTTCTAGCTTTCAAAGGTAGAAATTGCAAATGGTTCTAGTCCCTGACCAGTAAGAGTTTGAGCTATAGCCAACATTTGTCACACTGAAAGTAAACCCATTGAAACTGGCAAGGCTAATTTTGGTCCACAAATTTAAAAGGGTCTACTGTCCATAAGCAGAGGGCACAGGAATATTTAGTTATTAACCCACCCACACAACAGCCCACACACCCACACAACATGCAAGCTCTCATTTCTTCATAAGATCAATGTGTTGTTGTTGTTGTTGTTTAGTCGTTTAGTCGTGTCTGACTCTTCATGACCCCATGGACCAGAGCACGCCAGGCACTCCTATCTTCCACTGCCTCCTGCAGTTTGGTCAGACTCATGTTTGTAGCTTCGAGAACGCTGTCCAACCATCTTGTCCTCTGTCGTCCCCTTCTTCTTGTGCCCTCAATCTTTCCCAACATCAGGGTCTTTTCCAGGAGTCTTCTCTTCTCATGAGGTGGCCAAAGTATTGGAGCCTCAGCTTCACGATCTGTCCTTCCAGTGAGCACTCAGGGCTGATTTCCTTAAGAATGGATACGTTTGATCTTCTTGCAGTCCATGGGACTCTCAAGAGTCTCCTCCAGCACCATAATTCAAAAGCATCAATTCTTCGGCGATCAAAGATCGAAGATCAGTGTAGGTTTGGATAATCAATGTGTGTTTGTATAAAACAGAAGGCAATTTATAACATGGGTCTACACCCTATTTTGAATTAGCACAAAATATATATCATGTCTTCTTCACTTGCTGTCAAAAAAAATTCTTGAAGGACATAGTCATTTTCATTTCACTTTTAATTTGTATACTGCCTTTCTATATTACTATACACATGGTGGTTTACAACAACAACAACAACAACAACAACAACAACATATGCAACAAAGATCACACACCTTATCCAATCCAATACAAAAAGTCATAATAAAATCATAGCTTTAGAATAAACAACATATCAAATAAAGTAATATTCAACAATCCATTAGAATATAAGAGTACACAATAAAAATTACTCTCAAACTATCAGAAAATAATAATTGAACAGAAATTCACTCTTTAACTGTAATAAATGTAGGGGTTGCTCGTGCGCAAGTTGGTGCCACTCCTGGCTAGGGTGCCTTGTTAAACCTTTTCTGTCTGGACAGCCCTGCACTTCGTGGCTGTTCAGTCGCTAGCAGAATCCGTCAGTGGGCGTTTCTTAAACCTTTTCCAGCATAAAAGTTGTTTGACTCCAAGTCTCCTCCTACTCTCCCTGTGCGGAAGCCTTCTGCGCAGGGAGGGCGTGGGTAGCGGAGGACCCGTGCTCTCCCCACTGGTGTCCGGTGAAGAGTCTTGGAGCCCTCTCGCCGATTCCCCCATCAGCCCCCCTTTATCCCTGGTGTTACGCTGATTTCTTTCCCCAGCTGGTGAGCCGCCTGTCCCCCTGCTGGGCCCTTCTCCAGCATCGCTTGAGAGCCTAGCCTCCGCCTCTGGCTCCGATGTCAGTTCCCTGACATTAACCATTACAATAAATAATTACTAATCTATAATCAATAAAAATAGCAGCAACTTACAATGCATAAAATACCACAATACATACAAAACCATGTAAATATATCAACTTGAGAAACAAAGACACACAATTTATAACATTATACAGTGGTACCTCGGGTTAAGAACTTAATTCGTTCTGGAGGTCCGTTCTTAACTTGAAACTGTTCTTAACCTGAGGTACCACTTTAGCTAATGGGGCCTCCCGCTGCTGCTGTTCCATCATCGCGTGATTTCTGTTCTCATCCTGAAGCAAAGTTCTTAACCTGAGGTGCTATTTCTGGGTTAGCGGAGTCTGTAACCTGAAGCGTCTGTAACCTGAAGCGTCTGTAACCTGAGGTACCACTGTGCTTATTTTTTTAAATTAGATTATTCCCAGTGCCTAAACAAGCAGCTAAAACCTCTTTCCCTAAATTTATCACCACGCTCTGCTGTCCCTGTGCATAAATTCTAATCCCAGAATTGAGAACAGCTAGGAGAAAGCACTTTTTGGAGGAAGAGGCTTTGATATATTAGTTTTTAGTCTAGATCACAGTTTCCTGGTTCAGATTAAGTAACAGGAAACTGTGGGTTAACAAATCCCAAAAGTTTTCAGCTGGTGTACACAACAAGCAGGAAGCAGAGAATCACAACACTATTAGACTAAGAATATTAAATTTAAACCAGTTCCCCACACCCTAAACAGCAAAGGGTGGCATCCAACTAAGTCATACCCAGAAGTGGAGACCCGTTAAAATCGCTGGGCCTGTTTGTCATGAGTAATTTCAGTCCCTTGATTTTAATAGTTCTACATCTCTGAGTATTATGGTTAAGAGTGTTGGGCTAGGATCAAAGAAATGAGGGTTCAAATCTGCACTTAACCATGAAGCTCTTTGGCTGCCTTGAATAAGTCACTGCCCCGCAACCTTAGCTATTCCACAGGGTTGCTGTGAAGATAATATGAGAAGGTAGAACCATACACACCACCTTGAGCTCTTTAGAGGAAAGGCAAGATATTAATGCAACAAATAATAAATAATAAAGTGTGTCAGTGAAAGATCTTGCACAGCTGTAGATCGATATAAAACTGGGTAGACCATGGAGGGAAAGCTTTCAGCATCAGACAGTAAAGAAAACACCTAATGGTGCCGTTAATGAATGATCTAGATCAGGCTAAGAATGTCCACGTCCTATTAGTTTCACTGGGACAGTTAAGCTTGTGCTTCCTATTCCTCCTAAGAAAAAATAATGGAACTTTGCTTAACTTTGGCTGGATCATGCCCTAAGGAAGGAGGTGTTAAGGAGAATGAGTTGCAAATGGTCCAATCAATCGACTTCTTTAAAGCCATGTTTCATGGGAAGCTACAAAAAGCTACAAAAAGCTGCCAGCATATTAATAGTGGGCTGAACTAATTAGATCCAGCTAATGTTGCAAAGTTTATTTCTGCAACACTGAAACAGCTGTTGGTGTGAAGTCAAAGACTGGCAAGCCTGACTATGATTTCTGCACTACAGATCTCAACGCTCACGATAAAAGCTTTCACCAGAAAGTCTGTATTGCTTTGGAAGGAGCTAAAAAGCCTTTGTAAACACAGAAATGCAGGAAATGGACATTCTTATTCTGACAAAAGCCAGTGGGAGACCAGGGTTCAAACCCCCATTCGACTGTGAAGCTGAATTTCTAATCTTGGCTCAGTCACTGCTTCTCAACTTAACCTATCTCACAGGGATCCTGTGAGGATTAAGTGAGGGTGAGAATCATGTATGCCACCTTGAGTTCCTTGGAGGAAATAGTGGAATATAAATGCAATCAATCAATATTGGTATCTGGATAATAAAAATTAGGAAGGTAAGTGTCTACAAAATATGTCAGACATCCACCTGGTGCATGAGCCTGAGGACTTCAAAACATGCATAAGAGTTCTCCTGCCTTTCACTGCCACAGGCTTTTGAGATTTCACCCAATGTACCTGTGATGATTATGAGTTACTCGTGCGTAAACTGGTGCCTCTCTAGGCTAATTTGCCTTGTTAAACTTTTCTGACTGCACAGCCCTTTCTCATCATGACTGTCTCAGTCACTAGCAGAATCCGTCAGTGGGCGTTTCTTGAATCTCTTCCAACATAAGAGTTGTTTGACACCCAATCTCCTCCGCCTCTCACTGCGCGGGAGCCTTCTGCGCAGGGTGGGCGTAGGTAGCGGAGGACCTGTCCCCTCCTCACTGAGTTCCAGTGAAGAGTCCGTGAGCCCTCTCTCCGATTTCCCCATCAGCTCACTTTTGTTCCTGGTGTTGCGCTTAAATGCTTCCCCCTCCACTGAGCTGCTTCTCCCCCTGCTGGGTCCCTCTCCAGCATCATCTAGGAGCCTCCCCTTCGCCTCCCGCTCTGATGTCAGTTCCCTGACAGTACCTTTCAGGTGTACATGAATTAGGACTGAGGAGAATATTTGCAGAGCTTTGCCGTTTGATAAGACTTGCATATCTGAAGGAGCGTCTCCACCCCCATCGTTCTACCCGGACACTGAGGTCCAGCACTGAGGGCCTTCTGGCAGTTCCCTCACTGCGAGAAGCCAAGTTACAGGGAACCAGGCAGAGGGCCTTCTCGGTAGTGGCACCCGCCCCGTGGAATGCCCTCCCACCAGATGTCAAAGAGAACAACAACTACCAGACTTTTAGAAGACATCTGAAGGCAGCCCTGTTTAGGGAAGCTTTTAATGTTTGATGGATTACTGTATTTTAATATTTTGTTGGAAGCTGCCCAGAGTGGCTGGGGAAGCCCAGCCAGATGGGTAGGGTATAAATAATATATTTTTATTATTATCACACTCACATACTAACAGACCCTGCCCTGTAGTAAAGAACTAAGGGAGACCACTCTGATAACTTCTAATAAAATAAAAACAGTTTGGGGCAATATGTAAAGACTTTAAAAAAAACTTATTTCTAAGTATAGCAAAACTGGGAGGCAGGGAGGAGATGGAAATTCCAGGTGTTTAATGCAAGCCTGACACATTTTGGACTAATCCTTTTGGGGGGGAATGTTTGCATGAGCCACAGAAAACTACTCTAAAATGTGTTGTGCCTGAATTGAGCTTTTCTTTAAAGCTTGGCGTTTCCTCCTCCTTTCTTCTTCTTCTTCTTCTTGCTAGTGCTGCCTTTCTGGTTTTCTGACCATTGTAGCACACGAGAAAAATAGATGCTGTTCTACAACAGTTAACAAGCAATATGTCTATTTTTAAAAACTAGTAAATAGCTCGTCATAACTGATGAGATACACAGCTCAAAGGTGAACACAGGGAAGTCATAGATCTGTTTCTCTTACCCGCTGCTTCCCAAATCTAGATCTGCTAGAGCAGGGGCAGTGAAGTTGTGGCCCTCCAGTCCAGATGTTTCTGGATGACAAATCCCATTGTCTCTGGCCAATGGCCATGCTAGCTAGGACTGATGGGAGATGGAGTCCAACAAGATCTGAAGGGTCACAGGTTCCCCATCCCTTTCGTGGCGTGAAAAAAACAGCAGAGGGAGAACTTGGGGCTGTGAAGGAAGTCAGATCAACCAGCTCTAGGCTTGGATATTAAGATATGTATGATGCCTCAGAGTGCTTTGCAGTTTTCTCTGCTGTCTTTTACTTTGGTACTGTTGTTGTTTTGTTGTATTGTTACTTACATCTGTTGTACGCCAGCCTGAAATCCAGGGTGGTATAGAAATGTTTTAAACACATAAATAGCCATTTGGATGTTTGACACTCCAAATTCAGGGGGAATTTTTCAAATTAACACCTACTCAACCGCAGGAATATGGCAGTTGCTGACTGCTGGTCGGACCTAATCAAATACTTATTAACATGCATCATTTGTTAGCTGAGCTGCTTCAGTAGCATTCCTGAACTTTGTAATGTGGATTTCTTCCAAGAAAAATATGGTGGAGGTGAGAGGAAATAATTGTCTATTGACAGGCAGATTAAATGCAAACAATGCAGACAGCGTAACAGTAGTTAATGGAAAGTATCTGTGGATGGTCAGAGAAACTGAATTGGAGGGGGAGCATAGCAATTATCTGTGTGGAGCAAAACGCTTGCTTCTCCCCAGCATAGGTAGAAGTAAGATGCAAAAATTTTGATTACCCAGAGAATCATGGGGAATAGGAAACATAAGGCACGCCTCGTACTGCATATTTGTTCATTTCTGAGTGTCTGAAACCATTAAAAAATATTCTCACAATGGTTAACAGCGTGGGAAATCTAAACTTAAACGGAAGACAGGATTTCAACTAAGTCTATCAATTACAATGCTAGGCCTCTCTAGGATTTACAATTCAATGACATTAATATATACAGAACAGATTAATTTGGAAGGTTGTGACTTAGAAATCCTTCAGCTACATTTTCAGTTCTGTCCAGCGGGTGGCAATGGGGCGCGTGCCCGCGCGCGCGCGCGCACACACACACACACACACAGTAAAAGCCCTAAGTTGTGAGCTTCCCTCCCCATAGTAATGTGTCTGACTTCTCCACTATACAGCTTTCAGCAAATGCTGAAAACACACACCTGAGATGTGTGTTTTCAGGGCTCACCCTATTCCAGTAATAATAATAATAATAATAATAATAAATAAAAAATGCACGTGTGCACAGACATACACATGTTTATTTTGATTAATTTATGATACATACACCCTACCTTCCTGCCTGACAATAGACCTCCAAGGCTGCTGGCAATAAATGAAAACTAAAATGTATTAACCCAATAATGAAATTCTTTTAAAAGGTGGGAGCAACTTACGCAGGCTCTTGAGTGGAGGACATTCATGGGACTTTTATGTCCCTTGCCCTTCCGTGTTGTTGCTGATGCTGTGGATATTTTTTGCTGCATCTCTTCAACAGTTCCACGGAAACCATTAGTTAAATAGCATCCCCCCCCATCCCCTCCTCCGCCATGTGCGCTACTTAGCAGCAATCCAGGACTAGGCTGTTTTAGTTTCCAGGAGTAAAAGGCATTGCCTCACTAGGTTAGATGGATAGTCGTACATGTTGCTCCTATTAGTACAGCAATAATGTCTGAAGCTGCCTTAACTTTTATCCAACTGGTTCATCCAGCCCAGTATTGTCTACTCTGTCTTAGCGGCTCTTCAAGGTTTCAGGCAGAGGTGTTTTCCAGCCCAACTAATAATACCTGATAATATCCCAGAGACTTAGTCTGGGACTTCCTCCATACAAAACCTCTATCTGTTATTTGTAATTGGGTTCTGTGGGACTTTTAAAACCCCCCAAAAAACCTTTGTTGGGTTTCCAGAACATGTGCTTGTGACCATTTGTGGGGTACAAAACATGAATATCAATAATGCCAACAAAATCTCACTCTTCCATTAACGACTGCCCAGCTCTATTAAATCACAATGAAGACAAGGGAACTGTCATCACAGTACTCAGAGAAGTATGTACCTATGTGTTTATTTATTAGCAAAAAATGCCTATCAAATAAAAATAACCCAAAGCCAAATCTTTGGACTTAGTCAATCACTTTCTGGAGTATGATAGAGTATGCCCTAGGTTTCTGATGTGCATATTCCACATCCATTTAGTAGGGCATACAATGTAAAGCAATTTTTAAAATGAGTCACCGTGACTCACATGCACGGTTGATGTGATTAGATCATGGAAAATGTAACACTGATGTGCACAGACATTTGTCATTCATGCTATGATTCCATTGCACCTTATTAGGTATGTCCAATTATTTCCAGTATAAATTTAGCTGTCAGTTGACTACATATGCAGGTTTCACTTCTACACAATGCTAATAATTATGGGTAATTTTTAGAAGTCAGCTTTTTAAAAAACTATGTACGTGATACAAAAATCAAAATGTTGATTTCTATGATCCTTCCAGATTCTCATTAGTATTAGGATGTCCTCCAGATCACTGCTTTTAAAATTCAGAATGAATCATAAGAATGAGTATCATCCTGTTCTGTTCTCAAGTTCACAAACACTTCTTTATGTATACTTGTTTCTTTGGTTAATTTATATAGCAAGAGTTGTATGTTGGATGGGAGCCTAGAACACACACATATAAAGGTCAATAGGTTTCTGTCTCAAAGATGTTGGGTAGACAATGGACAGGAGGAAAGAGTCAAAGCACAGCCTAATTAAGGCTGAAATCCTATGCACGTTCACCTAGGATGCAGTCCTATTGACTTCTATGCTAGATAGACATGCATAGGATTGCACTGTAAATCCACTTAATTATTTATAATAATACTGACAGTAACTTCAAACCCTTCAAATGTGTAAAACCTAATTGTTTCAGTTTCTCTTATTTGGTCACTTCAAAAATCTGAGTAACTGCTAGTAGCTTTCCATTCCCATACTGTGCTAGGATCACTCTAAACTAGTGCTAATTATAAATACAGGTTCAGAATGAGGTTTTTTTTTGGGGGGGGGTTAAAAATGGAATTAGCCTTGAGGGTTTTCTGAAACCTACCTGTCAAGTGGCATAAGACTCTCAGAAGAAACTTTGCAGGGATAGATGCCGATGACAAATGAGACTGCTGAATGACACTATATGTATATACAGTGGAAACTTGGTTCCTGAACTTAATCCATTCCGGGAGTCCGTTCAACTCCCGAAACAGTTTGGGAACCAAGGCTCGGCTTCCTACAGCCAATTGGAAGCCGTGGAAGCCACGCCGGATGTTCAGCTTCCAAAGAGCGTTCGAAAACCGGAACAATCACTTCTGGTTTTCGAGCGCTCAGGAGCCAGAACGTTCAGCTCCCAAGGCGTTTGGGAGCTGAGGTTCTGCTATATATAGAAAATATAATCTAGTCTAGTCTAGTCTAGCCTAGTCTAGTCTAGTCTAGAATGATCTATGGGGAGCTGGCTTCAGGCACCATGCCCATTGGCAGACCAACTCTGTGTTACAAAGATGTCTGCAAGCGTGACATGAACGCTGGCAACATGAAGCCCTGCCGCGTGGGAATACCTTGCAGACGATGACAGTGCCTGGATACAGACAGACAGGTCATGTATCCTTAGCCTCCAGAGGAGGGATAATTGCTGGAAGGAGCACAGAGAGAAGAACTACCATGGTACATCTGCAGCAGCGCAACCAGACACCATCATCTTCCCCAGCTGCAACAAAACATGTCTCTCCTGTTTTAGTTTCTACAGCTACAGCAGGCGCTGTAGCCTTCCAACAGGCTGTCTTCACCCCCGAAGGCACACTCCTCCATTGTCTTCCGAGGTAGACAGACAGATGCCCAAAGTACTAGAATGGTAGCTTCTCAGTGTTTGTGTGCGTATACAACCCCAATACCAAAAATGCTGAACGTGAAACATGTATTTCACAGCAGGTTTAAGTAGCATCTTGCAATTCCACAATCCATATTAGGCCAACAATGTTTCTGAAAGTAATAGGCACGATCCAGTCAAACTTAACGACTTTTAAATCCCACTGAATTCAGTGCAAGAGGTTTAAGGCTGCAATCTTATACCTGTTTACCTGGGTAAACCCCATTGAACACACTGGGACATTCTTCTGAGTATACATGCATAATCTTGTAATTTCAGTTTCCTTTTTTAACTATGTAAGTGTTTTATACTCATTTTTCATAATAGTAGCTCCGAACAACCCAATTTGCTCTTGTATTGGCTTGGTTGCTAATGAATGACTATGACCCTCATAAGCCACAAAGCACAAGTTATTACATGTAACTTTAACATTCTGAGGTTCAATTCTGGCTTTAAATTGCTAGAGAGTTTTGCACCACATAAACACACAAGCCTTTACCTATACATCTGTTTCAGCCATAATATTTCTCTAGGTCCTCTACAAGTCTATCTTCCTGTTTTTTTTGATAAAAAATAATAATAATATGTGGCTTGGTTTCCCACCAACCAGCAGGGGACTTCCAAGCTGTCACAACAGTCCTAATCCAGTGGAAAATGATTTTATTGTTGGAAGCATTGAGGAGTGTGAAAGTTGCATGACAGATGGGATTGTGCATGAAAAAATAGTCTCTTAGGGAGCAGTGGATTTGAGCCATAGAAGTAGTGTTCACACAAGGAGTACTGGCTGAGAGTCAAAGGTAAGATTATAATCACATTGACCATTTGACTCTCTTCCTAGATTTGGGTCCATTGACCATGCCTAATGGAAAGACAAAAAGCATCTCTTATGAACCATGAAGAACTCTTGAATGCAGCACAGTCATTCTAATATGCTCTTGAAGTCCAAGGAGTTACTCATACTACATATGTCTATAATATAAAATACTAGCTTAATGGCTCTCCTGAGAGGAGGACAGCTTTGGAAACCTATGCCTCTTTTCAGACAAAGCTAGTGTTACTGACCAGGGAAAGGAAGGGCAGGCACACAATAAGAGTTTCAGTAGTCTGATTTTTCTGCTAAGTTTTCTCTAGTTTAAATGTTTGTGCCAAAAACAACAATTTAAGGTATTAGAAATATTTCCCAAAAATACTTCAATTGTGCATATATTCACCTTTTCATCATGTTTGGTATTGTCATTTTTGTTTGCTACTGCAGCTTTCCAGCCATTTCCCTTGTTACTGCTTCTTTTAACTGTATAGATAGTCACACAGGCAATTCCAGCCCGTCAGATCTCTCTCTCTCTCTCTCTCTCTCTCTCTCTCTCACACACACACACACACAGAGAGAGAGAGAGAGAGAGAGAGAGAGAGAGAATGTGGCATCATGATGCTTCACAGATACATACCTGGATTTGGCTCTGTCTGTGAAGCTATCAAGGAGACAAAATGAAATCAGCTGAGAATGAGGGAAATACTTCCTAGTCATACTGGTGATACCAGATAACCTGGGATTACAAAGTGAATGTGATGGTATCACTATGCTACATAGCTAATCAGATTTGGCTGCAAGATGACATCATGGATGACAAGTCTATCAATTTGCCACATATTCTATTTTGCCTAGCCATAACGAAGAGGGTATACAGACTCATGTAATATCTGTATTATGTTTTACAGACATATAATTTTAAACTGGTTTATATATGCCAAAGGCATATATATATGCCAAAGGCATATATAAAGGTAAAGGGACCTCTGACCATTAGGTCCAGTCATGACTGACTCTGGGGTTGGGGCGCTCATCTCGCTTTATTGGCCGAGGGAGCTGGCGTACAGCTTCCAGGTCATGTGGCCAGCATGACGAACCAGAGCAGCAGCAACAAAAACGCCGTTTACCTTCCTGCTGGAGTGGTACCTATTTACCTACTTGCACTTTGACATGCTTTCGAACTGCTAGGTTGGCAGGAACAGGGACTGAGCAACTGGAGCTCACCCAGTCATGGGGATTTGAACCGCCGACCTTCTGATTGGCAAGTCCTGAAAGACCTACATTGGCTCATAGTACGTTTCCAAGCACAATTCAAAATGTTGGTGCTGACCTTTCAAGCCCTAAATGGCCTTGGCCCAGTATACCTGAAGGAGCTTCTCCACCCCGATTGTTCAGCCCGGACACTGAGGTCCATTGCCAAGGGCCTTCTGGCAGTTCCCTCCCTGTGAGAAGTGAGGTTACAGGGAACCAGACAGAGGGCCTTCTCAGTAGTGGCGCCCACCCTGTGGAAAGCCCTCCCATCAGATGTCAAGGAAATAAACAATTATCCGACTTTTAGAAGACACCTGAAGGCAGCCCAGTTTAGGGAGGTTTTAAATTTTTGATGTTTTACCATGTTTTTAATATTCTGTTGGGAGCCACCCAGAGTGGCTGGGTAAACCCAGCCAGATGGGTGGGGTATAAATAATAAATTAATCTTATTCTTATTATAGCTCAGAAACTGCCTCGCATGCAGAAGTTCCTACATTCAATTGCTGGCATCTCCAGGTAGGGTTGGAAGACACCCCCATCTGAAATCCTGGAGAGTCACTGCCAATCAGTGTTGATAATACTGAGCTAGATGGGCCAATGGTTGGACTTGGTAGAAGAGAACTTCCTATGCTCCTAGCAATGTAAGCACGAGTGACCAAACAGAAATAAAGGATCTATCTTGGCAAAACGGCTGCATGTCATCCATAAAGTGATTACTTCAGGGTGTTCATTTTTTCTTCTCTCCTGTAATCTCTTTTTCAAAAGGTAGTTAAAAACAACAACTTGTACTGTGTTGAATAATTGTTTATTTCAGTTCGGAAAAGTGATGAGGCTGCCTCACGTTGCCACCCACTGATAACACGCAACCACCTCTTGGGAAGAAAACAGCTGGCTGACACCACAGCTTAAATGAGCAGCGATTAACCTTTGGCTGAATTCTTCTTGTTCCAAGCTGCATCATTTCAAACAATCCCCTTCCACCTGCTAAAATCTGGTGTTTTTCTCTTTAGGTTTCATACAGTTCCAAAGTTCTAAATCAGGAGATTTGGATTACGGCAAGTTTTGCAGAGCATAAACTAGCTCCAGTGCCCACAATGTTATGGCTAAGACCCACAAACCAACTGTGGTCAATCACCTCAAATAGATAAAAACTCATAAATTGTGATGTGACCAATGTAGCATGCAGATTATATATATATATATATATATATATATATATATTCCAGGAAATTGGAAGCTGCTCCAGGTGAGTTGGTGGAAGTCATTATTTAAACATAACTTTATCCCTAGCTTATACTAAAACTAATCTTGTTGTGTAAGAATCATCATGCAGTATTAGCTGCAAAGGGGAGAATGTGCCTAAAATTGAAACTATTAATGAAAATAACATATCAAAAACGCTTTGTATTGGGAGAAATGGCTTACAAAAATGTGTGCATTAGTCAAAACTGCATACAAAAATGTGCTTATTTGGAGAAATTCACACTAAAATGTTGAATTTTTACAACTTAATCATGTCTATTGATATCAATGGACCTACTCTGAGTATGAATTAGTTGGATGCATGCAACATACTGCAACATCAAGCATTCATAGGACCACTGTTGAATACCTCAGTTCATTCCTTACTGGGAGATCCTAAAGTGTGGCTTTCTCAGTACCTTCTCTGAGGCATCCTTCAGAGGTTCCATCTGCTTCCATTTTTATTTGGAGAACTGGGATAATATATTACAGAGCCACAAAGTTCAACACACTACTCTGCCTTGTCTTTTCATCTTCGGAGTCTGAATTTAACCATATACCAGCTCTTTGAATCCTTTAAATATGGCAGGTCAGCTTCTGCTCCTATTGTGAAGAGTTAGACATTGGCTTCAGTGGAGCCTGACTGGTCACCAGCTAGTAAATTCACAAAAGAAGGCAGGAAAGGGAACTTCAATGTCAAGACGTCATATTCAGATCAGAATAACATTGGGGCTAGAGAATAACCCAAGTGCAGGTCAGCAGGTTATATTTGTTTGCTCCAGAAAGAACCAAAACAAATTTAACCAGAGCTCCAAGCATAGCACACAAGCCAGTGTGGCCCAGTGGAAAGAGAATTAGGTTTAGATACCCAGTTTCAAATTAAAGCACACAGCTTTCTGGGTGGCCTTGAGAACTGAGACCACATCTCCCAGGTGTTGTTGCTTTATAACAGTCCAAATGAGCGAAACATTGACCCTCGCAGAGTGCTACAGAAATGGTTATTGTTATGATGATCCTCTCACCCACCAAGCCGACGGTTTTTTCTGTACGCTAACCTCTTGGCCTGGTGTGGAGCATAATTTTGAAAAGTAATGATGCCATCTAGCCTGTTGTTGCTTCCTAATCTTGACGAATAGCGCTGGGACTGTGTGTGCATGTGCCTTTTCCCCACCGATCTTCCCTTTGCACTTTGAAAAGGGAACTTCTTTGCAAAAAAAAAAGGGTATATAATAACTAATGCTGGAGAGATCCTGGAAGGCCACAAAGTGCTCTTTTCATTCTAGCCTCCCCTTAGATGTGCAGGTGCAAGCAGCGAGGCAGCAGGAGTGTAGAAAGAAACTCTTAGCCTCCTAGACGGTGTAATTTCCAAAGCTGATATAACGGTCAAATGGCCCACTGAAGGCACCAGCTCCTCCCTGTCTGTCATCATCCGTGCCTTATTGTCCGGGCTTTTTGCTTTGTTCGCTACGAGTGGGCATGCTCTGTTTCTCAGCCATTTGCCAGCAAACTTGCTGGCGTGCTGCCCACCTTAAGTACCATGCAGGCAGGATGGCGCCTCCGATACTTAAAACAATATTTAATGTTTTACATCATTGCGGGCTCGCGGATTAATTTCCAAATCCATGAAGTAACAGCAGATCAGCATGTGGCCTGCTAATGCCGTATCAGGAAATAATGCATGAGGGGAAGAGATTAGTGAGCGGAGTGCAAGAAATTATAGCCAGCATTAGCTACAGAATAATTTTTCAGCCTGCGATAAACTTCCTTCTCCTGTGCACTGCAGAGGGTCTTACAATGGGCTTAGGGAGGAGAAAAGCACATTCGGAGGTAAGGGAATCTGGGCAGAGCCTTAGACACAGCTCTTACGTGGAGACAATGTGGACCCCTCTAGAAGACAAAGGCACATTTTGGAACAGTTTAAAGAAAGCTATAAACACACACACACACACACACACACACTTGGGATAGGATTTTCTTCCCCAAAAAAAACATGAATGAAAGAATAACTGAGTCTTTAAATTTGGTATATAAATCTACCCCCCACATTCACAAGGATGATTCAGAAAGACTGTATGGAAAGAGCAATCTCATCTGTAAGGTGAATATATCTATATCATCTATATCTATATCTATATCTATATCATCTATATCTATATCTAGATATCGAGATATCGATATCATGGGTAGGCAAACTAAGGCCAGGGGGCCAGATCTGGCCCAATCGCTTTCTCAATCCAGCCCACGGACGGTCTGGGAATCAGCGTGTTTTTACATGAGTAGAATGTGCCCTTTTATTTAAAATGCATCTCTGGGTTATTTGTGGGGCCTGCCTGGTGTTTTTACATGAGTAGAATGTGTGCTTTCATTTAAAATACTTCTCTGGGTTATTTGTGGGGCATTGGAATTCGTTCATTATTATTTTTTCCAAAATATAGTCCAGCCCCCCCACAAGGTCTGAAGGACAGTGGACCGGCCCCCTGCTGAAAAAGTTTGCTGACCCCTTATCTATAGCTATATATAATTAACCTTGTGAGAAGAGAAAATGGCCAGAGTTTTGGGACAAATAAGCCCTTGCTGTCTCGACATTGTCATCTCATGGCAAGAAAAGGAAAATACAGTGGTACCTTGGGTTAAGAACTTAATTCGTTCTGGAGGTCCATGCTTAAGCTGAAACTGTTCTTAACCTGAGGTACCACTAATGGGGCCTCTCGCTGCCACTGTGCGATTTCTGTTCTCATCCTGAAGCAAAGTTCTTAACCTGAGGTACTATTTCTGGGTTAGTGGAGTCTGTACCCTGAAGCGTCTAACCCGAGGTACCACTGTAGACCCAAATAGCCCAAGTAGAATGCTTTAAAAATAGGGGCTTCTAAATGGGAGTATTATCCTGGGCCAGAAATCCATAAATGTCCAGTTAAGCACATGGATCTCTTGACTGAGTCCCCTTTCATTTCAGCGAAGGACCCAGTTCTCACACACCAATTGACTCCCTTCAATGAGTTTAATATGAAGGCTGTTGCCCATGAAGAAACTCTGTGTCTGCATTAGCGCTCCTGCCCCAGGATGGGATTGCTGAACAAAAATTAAGGAACTCTACATACCATTGTTGATTATTCATTTATCGTCACCA